TCTGCCTGGAGCCTACACTGGTGACATTAATGGTAGCTCCACGAACGTGTGGTCTGTTGAACGCGCACGACAGAGGAAAGGATAGCAGAAGGGAGAAGAGCGCAGGGACACAATGGGTCTAGCGTTCCTTTCAGCCGGCTCAGGGCCTTATCTCCTTTCAACACACTAGCCTGTGACTGCCACTATAGGAAAGGATTTACAATGTGCAAGAGGAGGAAATGCTGCAAAACTTCTCTCTTTCTTTCTTGCTTTTAGTCTGACACACACAAACAGAAATAGTCATTTCCAAAGCAGCACAATGACCGAACTGAGTTCTTCTGTCTCAGTTTGTGCTCAACTACCCAGAAGATGCTGCCAACATAATAGAATCCAGAGCAATGGTTGGAAGGGGGTGGAGGGTGGGGTTGTTTGTGGTGTGACAGGGAGATAGAGAGTGAAAAGGCGGGGAAGACAAAGCTGTTTTTGTCATTAATGCCATCAAAGGGACTTCCAGTCACAGTATTATGCCACAGAGAGTTCATCGAGGCGAGTTCCCACCTTGCGTGAGTGTGTTTCATTGTGCAGTTTATCGGGCTGGCCACATGGAGTGTCAGAGCTAACCCGGTGACCGCTCAACAAAAGGCCAAATTAAGAGGAGTGAGAGGCTGTCGTACAGGGAGGCTGACAGGTTGACTGACGCTGTTCCCGAAGAGAATAGCATCCTGTCAATCTCCGAGCTGTCACCTTGACAGGAATCCTTTCTTTGGATGCAACCCCCATCGCCTACCTTTCTGTCACTCAGGGCCACACGGAGACACACATATCTCTTCCTTTCTCAGTATTCTGCACAGAGAGCAAATAAGTCACCAATGGTGCGCACACACACTGCAACATGCATGTATACAGAGCTGCTTTAGGGCCAAAACTCTGAAGTTTAGCGCTAGCTACCCAGTCTGTGGGAGATTCACCCTTGTAATGTCCCATGCATCAGTTTATGTGTGTAATCTTGCGGTGTATTTCTCCTGCTTTTGTTTGTTTGATCACATTTGCAGCAACAGCTTGATCAGATATTGTGGCTTGAAGAAAAAAAAGAACATTGGCACCTGGTGCTGACGTTACCTGAAGTTATTGCCTCTCATCAGCCGTGGAGGGAACTGTTCCAGTCAGAGAGGAACGGGGCTTCCCCCCCTGCGCACTTGCTCACATTATTTAATCAGCAGTGGAGGGCTTTTTCAGAAGTCTCCATACGACGGCAGCATTTGCGTTCAGTGCTGGCGAAGGCTGGTGAGACTGGAGTCAGGGCACAGCAGCTGTCTGTGTGTACTTTACAAGCTGGTTCTGTTTGTTCTGTCGACGCAGAAGGGGTCAGAAGGGTGTCAGCTTTGTCTTCTGTCCCCTTCCATGGCTATGTGTGTCTGTTGGAGGGAGAGAGGGCAGGTGGGTGGGGCAAAGGGACTAACAGACCAGTGTGGACAGGTGGAGGATTCTCACTATAGAGGAGGCAGATGTACTGTACCTGCCTTTTTTGCTGTCGTTCTTTGTGTATCTCTGTCTGCCTATCCAGTGTATTTGTTTATCTATTTAGGACAATGCATTCATATTACTTTACATATTTATGGGTACTTAATATTATTGTTTTCAGATTTAAAAGAAACCTAAAAATAAAACCGCGTTTTCTAAATAAATAAATGAAAAAGTTTGGGATTGCTGATCCGGAGAGCAGAACATCTTCTTGCGTCTGGAAACTTCCGATGGACATTTTTCACCGTTTAAACTGCTGAAATTTTATTGACGTGCTAATGAATTGATTTAAAAAAAAAAAAAAGACAGATTAGTCCATTTAAAATAATTGTTATTTCTTTGAATTGTCATTCGTCATCCTCGGACAGATGTTACATCAAATGAGAAGGATTAAAGGTTGAAGCAGTCATCATTCATGAATCCATTGCAAAGTGGGAATACTAATGTTGCCACGTGTGATCGCAGTTGAAACAAGTATATGGGTGGGAAGATATGGTGCACATTTATAGAGCTCTTTTACAAGACGAATCGTCCTGCTATCCTTCTTTACAACAATCCACTGACTTGACTATTAAGGACAACACTTGAACATAAAGGGAAACTGTCACTTTTACGAGACGCGTTGCGTTTATTGGCGTATGGTCACATGCCGACGGACGCATTCTTTTGCATTCATTCAGCTCTCAGAAAGCTTGTGGTTTCCCCCCTAAGTGTTAAAGTAAATATAGTCTGCCTTCCTTGTCGTCCCTTCGTCCTGATATGAGGAAACAGCGGCCCCCACGGGCAGACAGCGGGACGGTAAAAGAGTTGTATTTCACTCAGTCTCAGAGCTTTTGGATTCGAGCTGTTTAGCTTCTAAAAAAAAACTTCTAAAAAAATATATAGGTAGGAAAGGATAGGCTATATATTACAAACCATACAGCCATATAATGTCATTACGATACATCTTCATCCAGCTTATTATTATTAATTTTTGCCTTCATTTTATTGGAGAACTGCAGATGTGTTTTTTTTAGCAAGGTTTTACTGGTTAAATCGCATATTTTTAATAACTTTGGACAAATGCGGGGTTTACAATGTGCAATGTTGGATCTTTTTCAATTTAGAAAGGATTCCTGCACAATAGCTGCCAGCTCTCGCCTATGATGGTACCCGAGAGAGAGAGGGAGAGAGAGAGAGAGGGAGGGAGAGAGAGAGGTTAGGAGCTCCAGATGGTGTTTAAACGCAGACAGAAGGCTACAGCGAGGACAGAGAGAGAGAGGAGGAGGAGGAGAGAGCCGCGGTTACTGCGCACAGTGGCCCCGCCAGCTCCACTCATCAGTGAAGAAGACAAAACAAGTCTGCAAATCCCAAATTGTGAATCCAAAGGAAAATAAACCGTCAGATCTGCTCAGCCGAATGTGATTTTCTTTTTTGGAAGTGAAGCTTTTTTTTTTTTTTTTTTTTTTTTGCGTTCCTCTTTTTTTTTCTTTAAAGACCACAACACTGAAAGACAGCGCGTCGGAGAAGTGCCGTACTGAGAAGCGTGGTGGTGGAGCAGCCTGTCCACGGGCTGTAGGGTGACTGTGTGCTTAAACATTTTTAAAAGAGACAGAAAAAGAAGAAGGTCACTTCGTTTCGTCGGATGTACAAGGAGTCGCTCCTGACACCACGGACTGTGGCTTCACTGTGAAGTTAAAAAAGGAGGGTTTTAAAGTTGTAACAGGAGGAATAATAGACGCACCCTGCCGAACAGAGGATCCGCATCTTTATAATTTCGGGGGGGTTTTGCCTGGGAGATGCGATGATTTCTGCAGTAGCGACAGGTTAATAGTTTTGTTCGCTTTAAAAAATATATAGATAGATAGATAGATAGATATATTTGGGGTTTTTTGCAGGTGAAACTCGGCTGTGTTTTTCCTTCTTCGATCTGGGATGGTTAAAATGAGCAAGAGTGCGGATTTACATGCCTGGGACAAGTTCTGATTTTTGCTTTAAAAGAAAAAAACAAAAACAACAACTCAGACTGCAAAAACCAAAGACATCAATCTGCTTAAAGATCCAAGAGCTCTGGCTTTGATTTTATTTATACGTTTTTCGATATAACTGAGAAGTGAAATACCTCATAATTTATTAAACCTGGAAAGTCAAGACCCCCTACTGAACACCCAAAGGAAAGTTAAACCGTCTGTTTTTTCCTGCTAGACTCTCGCTCTTTCCTCTCAATATTTCAAAGACAGAAAAATAAGGAATAAGACCGCGACAAAGCTTTATTATTATTATTATTGTTTTCAAATGATGAGGATTGAGATGACATATAAAAATCGGTTTTAGAAACTATTTGGTGTGGATTATCTCCGCTACTGTTACCTCAGCTTGACCTCGACCTTCATAAAGTAAGTACAACCTGCAAAAGTCAGTTTTGAGTGAAACTACGGCAAAACGCCTTTTAAAAAACATGTCTATTATTATTTTTATTGGCATGCATTATTTTTAATTGCCCTTTCGATGTTTTAAATGGAAAAGCTTTAAATACTAAAATATTTCAAGTGTAAACTTTCACATTATTGTAAGCATTCAATGTTTTATTGATCTGTGAAGGTGAAGATCAGGATACTGGATAACCTTTGCTTTTGCCTTTTTTTGTCGCTTTGCGTGTTATGATGTCTTTAGATGGTTACTGCTGGGCCACTGTAGGATGTTGCCTTGTAAATATAATTGAATTGAATAACACTGGTAACAAGAGACAGTTACAGGGGCAGGAAAAAGTGACTCTAATAATATTATTGTTGCTATTAATATCAGTAGTGCTATATGAACTTTTCTCTTTTCCTGTACTTTTAATTCTTTAGAGCTGAGATTAGACATAAAAAGACAGAGACACTGAAAGACAGAGCAAGGGGAGGTCATGAGTTGTTCGCCACATGAGTCTGTGCTACACATCAAAGTGATGCTGAGACAAAGTGGTGACACAAAATCTTTGGTCTCTGTGAATTTGGTCTGGATGAAGGCAATGGGTGTGAAGGGATACATTTAGGCATTTACCCTTAACTGAACTGCTCGGTGCCCCAAAACAGTGTAGTGCAAGGTATGGTGTCACGAGTGTTTGTTTATGTTAAGATTTGAACAGCTTTGAGGGATAACCTTTTACGTGTCACTGCGGTGATACCATTCTGTGGAGGCACTAGAGAAGTGGGTTATAAAGGACTGGACGGCTCATAATAACTCTTGTGAGTGTGGAGACACTCCCAGCGAAGAAAACAAGTCCAGCCAAAGGTTTCTGAGCCCCACTTGAACAGCCTCAGCAGCGCACTCTTCCGCATGCAAGTGCAACAGTAAAACACTCCGGCCATTTTCTCTGCAGGATGTGGCCCCGTGTAATTGGCCCTGGTAAATATCATCTGAATAATTGAACAGTTGATAATAGTCTTGAACAATAGATGGGAGGTTGCAGAGGTGAAACCGCAGTGCAGACACCCTGCCTCACCGCACATTATACTTCCATCACCACCAAGTGAGCATCTCGTCCTCTCTCCTTCCCAGTGGCGGCTGCCCAATCGCTCAGACCAGGAGGGCCTGCTGCCTGCTAGGGCAGATGTCCCCACTTCATCATTAAGTAGCTCTCTTAAAAGGCTGGCCATTCATTATGACCCGAGCCTGCAGAGTGTTTGTTCAGTTCCCATCTACTACAGGTGCACGGATAGGATGTCTGCTGTTTTATATATACAGAGGGAAACAACCACAGGTTTTGAGTAATAGGACCACTTTTCCTCAGAAGAAAAGGCATCAAGCAAAACCACAGGCCAGTGTACTTCACTTCCATTCACTTCAAGATGGCTTTCTCTTTTGTTTGTTATACCTCATTAGTTTATCAGTGAGTTACATATCAGGCATTCAACAGCAGAAATGGAGATGATAGAAGCCTTCAGTGTCTAACAGAGAAAAGGCTCTCGCTTATACTTTGACTTGATGCCTCAGCTTATGTGTTTGTTATATGGGTGTGTGGGCTTGTTGAGTATGTGTCTGTGTGCGTTTGTGTGTGTTAATTATTGGGATCTAAATGCAGGCAGTGCAGGTGAAACTGGCTGCCTCCTAATTAATGAGTGGAGCAGATGGCCCTGGGTGGGCGGGAGCTGCAAGCACACAGCGAGCCGGTCAGGTGGTCAGCACAACAGAGACACCTGGGCCGTCACAAACAAGACAAGTCAAGCGGCTGACACAGGCCAAAGATATAAAACCTGTGTTTGCGTGTGTTTACATATCTTTCTCTAGTCAACAAACATTTATAGAAACCCTCTTCTTTATGCTGTAGATGTATTACCTGGCCAAATTTCAAACACAGTGTGTTGAAAAGGAAAATCGCTATTCAGCAAAGAGAAGAAGAAATAAACAAGACGAGGCGGTTTGAGAAGATAATCTTTCATTTCTTCCTCTCTTTCCTGCAAAGTTTAGTCAGTGGTACAAAAACAAAAGAAATTGCAATCCCAGTTTTGAAGATGTTTTGATGGGTTCATGTGTGAGTGATTTCCTCATTAAACGGAGGAGCTGTGTGTACTATATCTAATTAATTAAGAAGCAAAACCTTATATGAATAACACACTATTCTATATCAAACACTATAGCAGCAAAGTTTATGGTGAAAATAAGTTGAAGTAGTTCATATTTGTGTTGTTTGACATATGTACACTCCCCTGATTGTCTTCTTCTTTGTCATACAAGTTGTCGCTCACCAGTTGCTCTGATTAGCTGACTGTAGGAAGTCACATGGCCTTGCCTTTAATTTGAGAAGATTATGCCTTAATAGATAAAGAGAAAAAAACACAGCACTTATGGTTTCAGTTACTCTAAAACTGCAAATTGTACAGAAGCCAGTCACTAGTTGTTGGTTCCAGTTGTTGCAGCCCTCAGTGTATATTTGCGTGTGTTCAGGCTAACAGGGGAGTTATACTGTACATCTGTGATGTAGAGAAACATCCAGCTTAGTTGACTTTTGCTCTCTGGCAGTTCTTTGCAGAACTGTTGCTCACAGCAGAGGAACAGTGTGCTTATTACACAGTTGAAGTGAGATCAGTGAGAGCGATATGAAAATTTGTGCTTTTTGTGTAAATTTATGAGAGCAAATGATGAGGTGCAGCATCTCTATAGTTTCGGTGCTGTTTATCCTGACGCACACTGGGGTAAACCAGCGTGGTTCTGGATGCCTGCTGCTCAGTCCTCTGTCTTTTGTGTGTGTGTGTGTGTGTTTTTGGTCGGCCGTTCTCTGGTCTGCTCCACATGTGTTTGACATTACTGTGACAAGGCTGCCCAGCCTCTCTGGGGAGATGGAGAATGTCAGAGACTAGAGTCAAGAAGCGAGCAGCTTCCCAACATCTGATGGAATGAGAAACACACTCGCTGGATGGCTGGCCTGCTGACGCCACAGCGTGGGAGCAGAGCGGTGGGTGGAGGCCAAGTAAAACCCCAATTGTGTGTTTGAAATATCACTCTTTCTCTCTTTTCCTTTTGCTTTCTCCCAAATGTGCACATATCCACTCATATTCTTAAGCGCCACAGCACACACGCAGGCATATCTAGTAATAACACTGTTTTCACTGGAATTATCAGGTGTCTTTTCTCCAGCTTTCTCACAGCAGGTGAGATGCTTGAATTACTTTATCTGGAACATTCATGGTTGAAAACTCACCCTTTATAGCTAAGCATTTCTGAAAATTATTTGTTGAATTGACTCTTCAAAAATTCATCAACATATAAAGCATTCACAAATTGCACCTTCAATTATGCATTTTTCAAACGAGGCGCATTTGTAGCTCACATAAACACCCGGTTGTGAATGCAGGTTCAAACCAGTGTCACCACAGTATGTAGCTGAAATGCTGACAGCTACAGCCAAGAAGAACAACCTTCCTCCTCCTCCCTTCCTTATCTTGTGCCTATTTCACCTCCCGCTATCCCTCCTCACCTTTTTTTACTTCCTCGCCTGGTCACTCACCTCTGACCTTCTTTTGACCCCTTTCTTTTCCTCGTCCCATTCCCACTGCTACATCTTGTCACCTCCCACCCTTTCTACTTCATTGTAGGAAATGTGCTCAGATCAGACTCTGACACAGGATACAGCTGGGCTAATCTACAGTAGCACCGAGCTGTGTTTTAATCACGCCAAGCGAACAGGCCGGCAGAGAAAATGGGAAGTGCAAATCGCCACCGCTACATGATATAATGAATCCCTCCCTTTCCTTCTGCCCCACATCGAGCCCTTTATCACAGGCGTGGGATAAACAAGCGCAAAGGAACACAGACTGAAGTTATTAAGGCCTCCACTCGAAAACACGTCCTCTCTGGATGTCTGGGGAAGTGCTGCAACGGGGCGACCGTGCAGACAGAGATTGGGAAGGAAGGCATGTCTCTCACATTTGCGCTCTCTCTCTCCCCTTACAGTATTTGTGAAATTAAAAATGTCGTTATCTCCTGGAAACAGATCCTGTGCCACACAGATGGTTCCGTCCCTCTTCAAATAGGAGGCTGAGCCACTGAGTGTGTTACCAGCTAGTTGTACAGACCTTAATCTCGACTTCAGCCTTCCTTCCTGTGCATGTCTGTCTCTCCACACGCGCACACACAGGAATAGAGAAACTGTGCCCCTTCAGATAAAAGTGTTGCCCGTGTAAAGTTCTAATTTCACTTGGAAATTGATATTTCAACCTTTCAGAAAACAGATATATTTGAAGTGTAGAGAGAGGAAGGTTAGAGATTTCCTTGATATGTCAAAGAGTAGTGGTGACTTTGAGGAGCGGCGCAGTGACGTCTGCAGGGTGTAGAGGTTGTGTTTGATATTTCAATTATTGCTTCCAACAGAAATCAGCCCATCTGTAAGATTTCTGAAAACTATGTTATGTCTTTGTGGAGAAATCTATAAGTTCCTCCAGAGACCTTCAGGTAAAGAAATAAATGTGATATGAGAAAACATAAAGATGCTTTGTAGGACCACAGAGTTTGTGATATGGTGAGCTGGACCTGGTGAAAAGATCTTTTAAAAGGTTTAAAGATTATTTTTGAGTCTGTGGCAGAATTTCATCTCATGAAACATAATGTTATGCATTAAATGAACTGATAATCACCTGGTAATGTTTTCACTCATATCACTTTCTCCCCTGAAACTATGATTGATTCCACAGCGTCTCTCTTTTTATGTAACATGAACGAGATGCACTTGTAATAACAGAGAAGAACAAAGCATAAGGAGACATATGAGTGGATAATTTTGTGACATATACAAGACTGAGATTATCTTCCCTGGATTAGGCTTTATTTTTTCCTAAAAAACTGTAACTTAGTAAGCATGCACTAATATAAAATATATAGATTTTGTTTTCTGTCATCTCTCCCTAGGAAGATTATA